CCTGTTGTCTGTGTCCATTGGTTTGGCTTATATGCATGCATACAAGTCCTTTGGTTGATCTATTCCCCTTACCCCCACCCTCCCCTACTTTCCCTCTGGGGATTGAAAACTGAGGCTTAAAAAAAACACAGGAATGTCCCTGGGGCCACGAAACCAGTAAGTGATAAGGATGGGGCTTCAAATCCAAGCCTGATAACTCCAGAGATAGTGTTCCTACTCATTTCTGCCTCACTCTTTCCCGGAATCACTGCCTACGCATAAATACCCACAGACCCAAACACAATGTGCATACATATATTAGCATACGTGACCAAGTGGCCTGAAAGACCGCTATTAACTTTGTTCTCCCTCACTAGCTTATAAAAAAAAGGATTTTCTAAAGCAATAATTTCCAATGCTGTTCCTATTTGTAAGCTCCTTATAAGAATGTCCACTTGCTTCTGTATTTATGACAGGCCATACATAAATAACAGACTTAACACTCATTCCCCAATTTGTAATCTGTGGGTGTTTAAGGGACATCATCTGTTTGGTTCTGAGGGATCGGCAGAAACTGCAAACTTTGAAAATTAGAATGAGACTTGCTACGAGGGATGAGTGACGTCTATTATTTGGTGTTTTGATTTTCTCTAAAATGGTAACTCTAATACTCAATGTCATTTCCTCATTCATCTCTCATAGCAAGCCTCGTTCTGATTTTCAGAGTTTGCTCACAGTAAGGTTATAGTAAAAGATGAACAAGTAGGGAGAAGGCTTTGGCCAGTTCGGAAACGGACGGAAGAGAAGAAAGACCTAGAAGCTCCTGGTGAAGGTGGGACGCCAGTTCGTGAGTTGTTTCTGTGGGTTTGACCCCAACAGAAGAGAAATCTGAACCTTCAGACCTGAGCCTCCGAATCACACATCTTCTAACCCCGCCTCACGCTGACGCCCCGATGGCGATGGCGGAGCAGCGGTTCCGCCCCTGGACTTACACGACTTGCAGGGGGAGCTGCTGGTGTGCTCCACAATCCTGGTCTCGTCGATCCTCAGCTTCAAGGGCCCCCAGGGATACTTGACGTTGGGCCGCATTTCAAAGCGACCTTCTTTTCCGAAGTAATCACCAATCACCTGTTTCAAGGCCAAAAGCAAGTGGACCAGCTGAGAGGTCAGAGTCACCTGTCTCCCAAGGAGGCGCAGGGCGGGCTCCCGGTGGTGCACCCTGACCCCAGCCGTGTGTTTGAGGACTTTGTAAGTCGGGATTTACAGCTGCTGAGTCGCCCTGGAGGTGAGCATCACTGAGGGAGGGCTGTGGCCACTCAAGGCAAGGTGGTTGGTTACACAGGGAACCATGATCTCGGGTTCATGGCTTTTCCCTTGCTGATCCGAGGCTGCTGTCCACCCATCCCCGCCGAGCAGCCCCCGGGGCCAGCCCTTCCGAAGGCCCACGTTCCTCTGGGCTGGGAGACCAGGTCAGCTTGGGCCGGGCTGGGAAGTGTAAGACAGGAGCATGGCCTCACACCACTCAGTCGGCCCCGCACATAATGGAAGCGTTAAAGAAAGTAGCTCTTAGGGACTCCTGGCCTCACAACGCCCCTGAGGCGGGATTACATTCTCCTGGCTGAGGAGTTTACCCTGCTTGCACCCCGTTTCCGGGCGGAACTCCTCTTTTATTGGTCCCTCTGGTTCCCAGAAAATCACTATTCATTTATGCTCAGTCCAAGGGTCTCTCTCAGTTTCAGGTTTAAATGCCTTTCATCAGCTCCTCAGCCCTGATCTAGAGGCACCTCCATCCGGGTCCTTGGGCTCCATCTCTCTTGTCACCAGCCTGCTTCTCCGAGTGGCTGTCACACCTCCGCCCATCCCTTTTGAGGGAGGTGCAGCCGGCTCTCCAGGCTGTTCCATGGCGTGGCAAAAAGCATTCCCCACAATCACCAGAACATAATCACTGTGTCCTGACACCCTACAAAGCACCTCACACACTGTCACCCTGCACCTCCACAATGACCCTCCCTCACAGAGGGGAGACCAGAATACCCACCAGACCCAGACCAGCCCAAGCAGCAGATTCGACCTAAAACACTGCATCCTATCTAATAAAGAGGGAATATGCTAATTGACCCTCATGCCATCGCAAAGATGGCGGCACCCACAGCCAATAAGGAGGGAATAAGCTAATTGACTGTCCCTCCCTCAAAGATGGCGGCACCCACAGCCAATAGAAGGGAATATGCTAATTGACTGTCCCTCCCTCAAAGATGGTGGTGCCCACAGCCAATAGGAGGGAATATGCTAATTGACTGTTCCTCCCTCAAAGATGGCGGCACCCACTACCACAAGATGGTGGCGCCCAGTCCCCTCAGGGCAGCCTTGCCACATGCCTGCCTCTGGAGTCCCCCAGTCCCCTCAGCCCCCAGCCTCCCAGGGCCATCCCGAGGCACAGGCAAGCCTCAGATGGCAGCTGCCCAACTTCCCAGGGCTGTACAAGGCGCAGGTAACCAGGGCCGGCTGAGGCTTGTGCTGCCGGCAGTGGCAGCAGCAGAGGTGCGATGGGGCATCGCCTTCCCCTGATCACCCGGTTGCCTCCAGCCCATGAGGGCTCCTGGACTCTGAGAGGGGGCAGGCCGGGCTGAGGGACCCCCCCCTCCAGTGCATGAATTTTCATGCACTGGGCCTCTAGTATGTGTATAATCTTTATTTATAGACTGATCATTTAAAGTTTATATAGTACTTTCCTAGGTCTCATTTTATTCAGGGCTCATAATCACAAGAGAGCAAGGAAGATCTGATTTCCATGTGACAGCCCAGGAAACTGAGGCAGAGAGCGTCCTCCCAGTGAGGGTCAGAGGCTCATCTTTGCGTCCAGGGCGCTCTTCCCATTCCGAGATGCTGTCCAGAAACACCACCATCTTTGGAAATGTTAACAATTGTCCAGTTTATAGCCCCCCCCCCCAAAAAAAAAACAAAGTCAGATTGTAAGGGAGGAGAGAAATACACCGTCTCACTTCACCTCTCTCACCCACATCCCTCCTGCATCGTAGGACTGAGCTGTGATTGGTGGCCACTAAAAGAAACAATTTCCCCACTTGGGGTAAGCGGGGGACTGATTCCTGAAGTCTTCCCTGATCCCCTCAACCGACGTGAGCCCCCCCTACTTGGAAACCCCAGGTTTGGGGCTCATTCTCATTTGGAGGCTGCCTTGGGGACAGCTATTGGGACATCAGGACGAACACATTCCTTGGGGTCCTAAACAGCAGGAGAGCGGGCAGAGCCTCGCTCGCTTACCTCCTGGGTGCCTGCCTCTGCGTCGGTCATGGCGATCACCGAGAAGTCCCCGTACCGGTCCCCGTTGGTGTCTATGGACACCTGCCCGGCAATACCTAGAGGATGACACAAGAGGAGCACCAAGTTGGTTACTTAAAGCGCCGCTGAGCCAATGAAAACGAGGCATGAACGGACGGGATTGTTCAGGCGCCCTCTGGCCACAGGGAACCTCATCAGACGCAGAGCGTTTGTGTTGGCCTTGGGAAAGACATTGTAATTTCATCTGTGTCTGCATTCCTAAATTCTTAACATTTCTCCATTTAAAAACGAAAAGAAAAGGAAATAAATGACCTTCTCTGAGAAATATGCGTGTGTGTTTTTAAAGAAGAGTGAGGCTAATCCTGAAAGCAGCATGCTTATCCCAGAGTTTTCTATTAAATTAAAACAAAAGCAAACTGCCAGGCAGAAGTGGAGGTGTGGCCGGCTCCTGGACTTGTCACGGGTTCGTGTTATCACTAGACAAACGTCAGAAGGGAAACCCTATTCCAGGCCCAGGACCCGGCCAATGTGCTCCGTTCCGGGCAACGTGGTGCGCAGGACGGGGAGTGCCTGGCCCCCCGTCATGGGAGCTGAGAGTGAAGGAAGAGTTCATCTTTCTCCCACTATCTTCATTCGCTGTTCTGTTTCTGTTTGGGGGGAGTTTTTTCCAGTTTTATTAAGGTATAATTGACATTCATCACTGTTTGAGTTTCAAGTGTCCAGCATAAAGCTTTGACTTACATATACTGTGAAAGGATCGCCACCACAAGTTCAGCGACTATTCATTATCTCACAGAGAAACAGTAAGTCATTTATTGTTTGCCCAAATGTTTGCGTGGTGATGCTGCCGCAGAGGCAAAGGTGAATGGGACACATTCTCTGCTCAAGAGAGGGGCAGCCCCGAGGAGGGATTTCGCCTGTGGAACCCGGAGGTCTGCATTTGGATCCCAGCTCTCATGCTTACAAGTGCCTTGAGCAAGGACTTTGCCTGGTGAGACTCAGTCTCCTGGACTATGAAAGAGTCATAATAGTGCCTCCCGGCCAAGAGGCTGTTGACGAGATGAAACAGGTAAAGCCCTTTCAACGCAGATTGAAGAGAAGTTGGTTGCTTTCCTCTGCTGTCATCGCTACTATCGCCAGGCCTGAACTCTGAGAGAGGACATTGGCAGTGCCCACACCACGCAGAGCAGGAAGCCCAGTGCAAAGGCAGTCTTTCATCGGGACAAGCAGCCATCAGAGAGGGTCGGGGGGTGTTTGAGGCAGAAAGGCAAGCCTTGCAGGCATTTACAAAGGCGCTGACGCTGGAAGGAAGCAGAGTGGCCATGAGGGTTCTGGGAGGTGGCCCGTGTGCATGGAAGGGAGCAGAGAGAAAGACTGGAACAGAGTGGCCAGAGTATGGAGAGCCCCGAGTGCCCACAGGAAAGACTGAATTCACTCTGGCCAGCAAAGGCGGCTTACAACAGCTAATCAACCAAGAAATATGTCTCCTTAGTTGATATTAAATGTCTATATTGTAATTTTCATTAACTAAATAATAGAGTGCAAATATCAGCTACATGCCAAGTCACCAAGGCTATTTATTTTCCTTTATTTCAAACTGTGGCAGAGTTCGGTGTAATTCTTAATTGGTGTTTCCATTGATCTGGTTCTCTCCGGAAGTAAAATGAATGTCTGGGAAAAGGGACCCCAAGGGAAAGTTCCATCCTCAAGTGTGGCTTGGAGAGGACAAGTATTTGGGTTTACTGTCCTTGGGTTGTGGTTTGAAGCCCTGCCGATTTTTCCAGACTTTGGTCTACTTTGCCAGAAACAGAATGGAGTTACCATTCATCTGGATGTTTTGTCTTCTTAATATAGACTGGTTACAAAGGGTACACCTACCTTGAACTTGTTTATCCTTGACAGCCTATACAACTTTTAAGTCATGCCATTTTTTAACAATATATATATATTTATCCCCAAACGTATTGGTTATCCAAAAACCTTTTTTATTCTGTTCAGAGGGCTTTATGATAGTGTGTTCTGTAAGTGTTTTTGCAGAGTGTCCTATAAGACAAGGTGGCCCTGGTAATCCAAGACCTCACTATACTTGAAGCTATTACAATTCTGCCAAGAAATGAGGTGAGAACCCTCAAGGCAGCCGATTAGCAAGTGAGACTTCACCTGAGAGTATTGTACATAAGGTGTGATGGTCAGGCTGCGGAAGAATTTTCCTGTATAATTACTGAGACATCCCACCCTCATTTCTATGGGCCTGTAGTGGAGTTCACGGTTTGAGCCACAGACCTATTTACCTTGTCACTCTGACCTCTCACACAGAGAGCAATTTAGCTTCTTCCCGGGCCATGGTTGAGAGTTGGTCATAGGTTTCTCGGTAGTAAAATCTAAATTTGTCAAATAACATCCAGAGTATTTTTCCCTTAAGAACTTAATGGTCCCTTATGGTGACCATTAAAATGAAAATTGATTTTAAATTTAGAAAGGTTAAAGTTTTTCTTAGAGGTCTTTTGGGGGCTACCCTCAGCTGGATCACTGTTTAGTAAAGAGAATGGAAACTTACCTTGGCTTTAATTGTCTTTACATTTAGACAAATGAGATTCTGCATTTTAGCTGAACTCATACAGTTGATTGTTTTAGAACTCATTTCCTATTGCCTGTGTAGACCTGGCCCTAGAATGGAAGACCAAGACGGCCTATGGGAAAATTTAGTTCATGCCCTCTAAACAAAACTGAATCCAGCCATTGTGGGCACCTGCCCTTCCCTTAACAACCTCCCTCAGAAGACCAAGAACAAATGACCACACCACGTAGTGAGGAATAGCTAAGAACGGGATGTGGCCTACCAAGATTGTGTCCACACACACACCAGTTTCTCAGTGTATTGGGCACAACTTCTGGAAAATTTGACTCTGTCCTAATATGCCCCCTGAATTATCCTACTTGATTCCAGCTCCCAGCTAAAGCAGTCTAAGGTTGAGCAAGACAATCCTGGAGGCCTATTTGTTCACATTCTACAATCTGTCAAAAGTTAATCAGATGTCACTCTAGTTTTGAGTAAGATGTGGCATCCACATAAACCACCAAGAAGCAATGAAATCCACCACTTGTCACCATAGCTAAGGCCAAGACAATTCTAGATGGAACATGACCCCTTTGTACTGCCTTACCCCTTCTAATAACTGAGAACAGAACAAGACAGTGGAATGGATAGGAGTCCCAACTGGAAAAAAAAAAAAATGTGTGCTTCAAATCTAGACTTGGAAGTACTTGTTCCCATCATTGAAAATGTCATTAGTTAGATTGCAAATAAATATAGGCCTAGCCCCAATGCATTCAAGGATTCAAAGGAAGAGGTAGCATAATGCAAAACTGAAAGGACTCTTGTCAGTCATCAACTAGTCCAACCCCCAAGGGTTAGGTGATGGAGAAGTCCAAGGGACTGAGGGTGGAGTCCATGACCAGGACGCAGGTTTCCTGGTCCAGCGATCTGTACTCTATGTTAGTGGCTCTCACATGATGCCCATTAGCATACTATAGTTTATTTTCCACACAGCCTCCATAGGACCCCTTTTAAAGACTCAAGATAAATCATCTTCCTCAAACCATCTGGTGGCTTTCTATCTCACTCAGGGTGGAACCCAAAGTCCTGGTGCAGCTCCCAGGTCCGCGGGATCTAGCCCCCACTACCTCTCTGACTTGGACTCCTATCACACTGCCTCTCACATGCTGTTTCAGCCTCCTGGCCTGTCTGGGGGCACTCAGGACTGTCCCACCGATACATTCACGGTCTCTGCATTTGCTGCTCTCTCTGGAATGCTCTCTCATGAACATAATTTCTTTCCTTTCCTTCAGGTCTCTACTCAACTGCCACTTACCAGAGAGACCTTCCCTGATCACTCTATTTAAATGAATAGTCCCACACGACACTTTCTATCTCTCTATCCTGCTTTATTTTATAGCCCCTGAAATGGTGTATCTATTTGTTTATCATTAGTTAACCCCACTACCATGGAAGCTCATATGATTGCAGGGAATGTCTTTAGCTCATTGCTAAATCCTCAACACCTTGGACAGTTGCCTGGCACATAGTAGACGCTCAAGAATATTTGATGAATGAATGAGTGAGTGAATATGAAGTTGATAACTGCAGGGCTCATGTTGAGTCTCGTGTTAATTTTCTTTGAGTGCTGGTGAGGCCAGAGGAAGCCAGCCCTCTATATACTGTTGGCAAGAATATAAGCTAGTAGGCCTTTCCAGAAGACATTTGCCAACATCTAATGATATCCCACAACTAGAAATATTCCCTGTTGGATGTACTCACAGAAATTCATCAAGACACATAAGATGCATAATAGCAGAAACTATAAACAGCTGAAGTGTGCATCAACAGGAGATTGGTTAAAGAAGTCCTTGTACAGCCATATGGTGGAAAACTATGGAACAATCCTTGAAAAATGTGCTGAATCTATGAGTACTCATATGGAACGTTTTTGGCATGAAAGTAAAAAAGCTATGATAAGGAATGGTATTCATGGTATGACGCTTTTTGTATAAATTTTTTAGATACGATATAATTCAAATGCATATGTGCTGGCAGAAGACAAAATATTTTTAAACCGAATCATAGGGAATTGTTAATAGTGATCACATTGGAGGGAGGGGACCAGGGCGAGGAGGAAAACTTTCACTTTTCATTTTGTGCATTCCTGGACTGTTTAAATTTTCCAGCCAAGAATAGTCTCATTCTTGTACAATTTTTAAACGTCAACAGAGGTTGCTTGAGTGATGAGATGATGGGCCATTTTCTGGTTGTTGTTAAGAAAGCCACAGCTAATATTCATCATTTTATAAATAAAAGAAAAGTGAGGGCTCACTAGACCTGCTCATCATCTCGAGCCACTCAGGTTTGAACAGAGAAACGTATATCTGGGATCTTTCATTTTAAAACTGACTACAGTTTGTTTGTTGTGAATGAGGCTTGTGATGAATTTAATTTTAAGAAACATGGAGTTTGCCCAACAATCAGAAGGAGCTAAGCCACTTCCCGTTTAAGTGGGACTCTTTCAAAGCCCTTGCACGTGCTTTATCTCTTTGAGTTTTCACAGCAAGCCCGTGGGCAGCTTGATTTTGACTTATTATCCTTACTGCACAGCTGGGGAAAGCAAGGTCCACGGTTGTAAGAGCAAAATAGAACCAGCAAAGAAGCAGCTCAAGGAGCTGCAAAGTGCCGTTGACGTAAAGACTGAATCCTCACCTTCAAAGGTCCTGTTCCAAGTCTGCTGGATAATTTTCCCTCCGTCCTTCTTGCTATAACCAGCTCTGAGCACTTCGTGCAAAGCCAGGACGTAGAGCAGAATGGCATCATGGAACCCTTCAACAAACATGTTCACCTGGAAAGGAAACCCCAGTTGGGTGAGACCAAACACCAAATGATTCAAGTTGAGGAATAATATAAGCGAATAAAAATGATCAACACGTTAGACTCCAGGCCTGCAAGCATGGCAGAGGTGGGCAGGGGCGTAGCTAACGAGAATGGTGGCATGGTTTTCCTGGCACTGGTTTACTGAGGAAAACTTTCCCCCAGTTTGGGAATTTGGAAAGCAGACAAGATATTACAGAATTTTTTAAAAAAACCTGTACCTGTTGGCTAGGTTACGTATTCCGGGTGCATCAGCCTTTGCCCATAGCTCCCTTTGCACAGGCGCCCTCCTTCCCCACGTTGCTCTCTGCCTCCAGCCAACTTGAGTCCCACCTCCCCCTGGAGGTTTTCTCCACCTTCAAAAGCCCCTCTGATCTCTCCACGCTCTGAATTTGGAACTTAACTAAAAGAAGAGTAGGGATCCATTCGCTCATATTCAAATGCTATTGAATGCCTACCGGAATGCTCAGCATGCAAAGAGGACTGGGCTGCGTCATTCCTGCCTGCCGCCATTTATGCTCTCTATTCTATCAGCAATAACATCTTCGTTTCTCGTTCTAATGTGTGTCCTGAGTAGTTTCAGTGCATCTCAGTGCTCCCCAGCTCCATTCCCTGCCAAGCTCCAAGGACAGGAATGGAAAAAGGCCCGGCTCAAGTAAGGAAACTTACAGCTTCCTGTGGACTTGGGAAATTCACTTAAATCCCTTTGAGCCTTATTTCCTCCTATAAGCACCATTTGTAAGTTCTAATACCACATTTAAACCCATTGCAACAGTCAATAAACATGAAATGAGCAAATACAATCCTGAAACGCTGAGTAGCTGACAAATACTGTACAAAAGTATAAAGAAAAATCGAGCCTTCTTTCAGGAGAAAGCATCAGGAATGTAATGCCATGCGGCAGAATGAGCTGGGCATCCCACGGACCGACGATCAGGGTGAGGCCTTTGAGGCTGTTTCCTGCCCCACCCCCAGTTCAAATACAGAAACATTCACAGAAGACACAGTTCAACATCCAGTTCTACTTGGCTTCTTCCCACCCAAAGGGCCGGTAAAGTCCTGTTTGTGTCCCAGAAGCAAATATTTCAGATTTGACCAAGCCTACTGCTGAGAGGCAGGTCAGAATAATTGTAGGGAGCCCAGCTTCACCACTTCCTAGCTGTGTTTCCACACCACGCTGGGTCTCAGTTTTCCCCATCTGGAAAATGAGGGAGATAGTAATACCTATCTTAGGGGGGTGCCGTTGTGTTTAGACAAATCAATAGATGTAAAGGAGTCAGTATTCATTGTGAGTTCTTGTCGTTATTGTCTAATGGCGAATTATAAAGCGAGGGGTCCTGGTTAGCTTCTCATTTCTAGTAGTGGTATTAATCACCTTACTGGTATAACATATCTTACTGACCCATTTATACTTAACGGAAACTTTGTTCATGCTTTGACACCCCAACTCGTTCTCTTACTTCCTCAATGTCCGGTCCTTCATTCTGTCCAAGTATGATGGGTGCAGCCCAAGCTGGTCAATTGCGCTGACCCTCTGGGGTGGGCGGAGGACGGAAAAGAGTGCTGGCTCACAGGAGAGCTCTGAATCAGCTGCTGGACCCAAAATCTAATCCTAGCCCTGACACGTTGTTTAATCTCTCTGATCTTCAATTTCCTCATTGGTTTAATGGGGGGTTAGCACCTATTCATCTCCTCGAGCTCTTCTGGGGATGAAATGAATGAGGGCATGTAGAACATCTAAAACAATTCCTGGGACCATGGAAGCAAATAGTAGACAATGGCTCTTGCTCTTAGCCGTCATGCTGAAGTCTCAGAGTCATTATTTTCTTAGGCAAAGCAGAATGTGTAGAAATAACATCTACTAGTCAAAGATAATTTTCTGCTGATTCGGCTACGCTAATTAAATTTTCCAAAGGAATATGAAATTTTCACTTAGACCATGAAGTCATTGTGGCTTGAGAAAGTACGCATGCTGATGAGTTAATGAGTTTTAATAAGTGAACTTTGGCTGTGTAACTTCATTCTCGGGCCACTAAACATATTTTTTCAAAAGCTCTTTCTCCTCTTTGATAATTATATACACACCATCCTGCTACAGAGGGAAGTCACAGAGTCATGGAAAGTGGAAGATGCAAGGTGCTCAGAAAAGCTCTGGCCTAACCCTCTCCTTACTTGGAAGACCAAAAGAGCATCGCTCCCCCTCATTCGTCCTGCACTCTGTACCTGAGGATTGTTCCCTTCGTACTCCTTGTTCCTGGGGAGCCTAGGACAACCCTGCTTCAACTGTGAAGTACCTCCGCCTCTCTTCCTCCTCTTCTTGACGCCTTCCCAAAGTCCTAAACCAAGGCCATCATAACACCTACCTACTGCTGGCCACCTTAAGCATTGGACATGTCCCCAGCACCACCCTCATCTGACTCTCCCCCTTCCTTCTTTCTTTTTTTTTAAAATAGATTTTTATTGATTTCAGAGAGGAAGGGAGAGGGAGAGAGAGATAGAAACTTCATTGATGAGAGAGAATCATTGAACGGCTGCCTTCTGCATGCACCACACTGGGGATTGAGCCTGCAACCCAGGCATGTGCCCTGACTGGGAATCGAACTATGACCTCCTGGTTCATAGGTCGATGCTCAACCACTGAGCCACAGCGGCTGGGCCTCCTCCTTTTTTTAAAAAAATATATTTTATTGATATTTTACAGAGAGGAAGGGAGAGGGATAGAGAACCAGAAACATTGATGAGAGAGAAACATCGATCAGCTGCCTCCCGCACATTCCCCACTGGGTATGTGCCCGCAACCAAGGTACATGCCCTTGACCGGAATCGAACCTGGGACCCTTGAGTCCGCAGGCTGACGCTCTATCCACTGAGCCAAATTGGCTAGGGCTGGGCCTCCTTCTTCTTGATATGCCCTCTGTGCTGCCCCCTCTACAACCCAGGATGGAAAGCACGATCATCTGGCTGAGAAACATGAACCTGGATTGCTTTTTCCTACCAGGTTTAATGGTAGAAGAAAATAGATTGGTTCTAAACACATGTCCAGGTCTGAAAACCCATTCTATCCTGATTTGCAAATAGATTGAAAATTGTACTTCCTTTCTTTCAAAGTAGCTGAGTGTCTCCCTCTCCTGCCAAAATTAGCAGGAGAGCTGCTGACCCCCACCGAGGTTCGCTGGCACCCCAACCTGCTGCGGAGGAGGTTTCATAACACCTACCTCATAGGCCCTCAAGCCAGAAGCAAAACCCTAGAGACCTTCTTTTCTCCAGGAGAACATTCTCACATCCACACATGTTTTCAAGTGGGAGGAAAGCCCATTAGCACATTATAGACACTGCAAATTAGAAGTGCAAATTTTTGAAAAAATAAGGGGGAAAAAAGTCCAGAGTATTAAGTTGCCTTTGGAACACTTTCCACTGGACCTCCAGGCTAAAAGGAAGTAGGTCATCTGGTCTGCCCCCTACCCAGCCTGTCAGAACAACACCTGGACCTCAAAGTACTGACGGACAGACTGCACAACCTCTCCAGTATTTAGCATCCTTTTAGCCAGAAATCTCCTCCTTACTGTCATCAGCCATAAGTCTTCATTAAATTCCTAAATGCAGCCATCCCTGCTAGATGCTGAACAAACAGAAAGAACAATACAATTCAAGAGCCCTGGGGATTTACAGTCTTGACCAAACAGTGTCACAGTTCCATAAGGACACAAACAGCGTCACAGCTCCATACGGACACGTAGAGGGAGTTTGAGCAAGGCGGTTGTGAAGGGGACCACCATGAGGGACAAGCCCCAGGGCGATCACTATCGTGCTGTGTACCATTCCAACAAGATGGAAATCACGCACCATCTTCCACTCATCCTGGGAACTCGGCCAGAACAGGGCAGCATGCTGGCATTAACTCTCCCGTCATTTCATCTCAGTTCTCTTGATTTTCCCTCCGGAGCTGGCCAGCGGCAGGTATGCCAAATGGAAGAATGCCATTTTTGCCTTTGGCCTGTCTCTCTGATTGCACTTGTCAGCCGTGTCTATTTATTAGTGTGTGTTTTTCATCTCTCGTGGGGAAAGCCAAACAGAAATTTTGCTATTTTTTAACTGAGCATAAAGAGTGACCATTCATGACATGGCTCCCATCTGTGGCAGGAGTGGCATCTTTCTCATTTCTCTTTGGGGAGGCAAATTCGTAGAGGAATTCCTCAGTGTTTGTGTTTCAAACAAGTAAGCAAAGATGTTGCCTGTATCAGCTGTTTTGTGCAGTGATAGTGAATAACATAGCAGTAGTCTACCTCCCAGGTGGTCTGGGTATCTGAGACAGCCTGTAAAGCTCTCACATAGAGTCCCGGGAGAAAGCTACCAAAGCTCAATGCAAGGCTAGGCTGCCCAGAGATCTTGCCTGTGGTATTCAATGAACTCAAGAATATCACAAGGTGGCTCCGTCTTCCTTCCCATAAACCAAAGGTTCCCAATGCAAATAAGGAAAGTGGAGAGTTGGGCAGCATATCTCAAGAGTCTTTTGTCTTTTTTTAATATATTCTTATTGATTTCAAAGAGGAAGGAAGAGCGAGAGAGTGACAGAAACATCAATGATGAGAGGGAATCATTGATTGGCTGCCTCCTGCACATCCTCCACTGGGGATTGAGCCCACAACATGTGCCCTGACCAGGAATCGAACCCAGGTTCATAGGTCAATGCTCAACCACTGAGCCACGCTGGCTGGGCTCGAGTCTTTTGAAAAGACATGACCCTTAACCTTCCATTCCACTGAAGAGAAGATGTGGGGAAGGGAAATTTTGATGGCAGGAAGGTAAGAGGAAAAATGGACTCAAGACCTGCCTTTCCCCATCACAGCAGGAACAATGGCAGCAGGATATTGTCTAATTAGCAGTATGATCCTGAAAATGGACCTGTCCTCCCCTCCTAGGCCACTGGGATGGTGGCCAGCAGAAGGATGTGTCCTGGGGATGTAGCATGTA